ACCGTGTAAATGGGGCTGAAATTTCACTACTGCCCAAACGAGAGAAAGGCATTCCCTTTCGGTGATTGAGTAGTTCCTTTCCGCCTGCGAGAGGAGACGGCTGGCATAGGCGATAGCGGGCGCAGCCGTTTTGATGCTGGACCAAAACAGCACCAATTCCATGGCCACTGGCTTCGGTGCGGACTTCTGTAGGGGGGGCATTGTCAAAATGGGCCAGAACAGGTGGTTCGGTTAGCAATGCAATAAGTGTAGAGAATGCCGTAGCCTGCGCAGCACCCATGTGAATGAGACATCTTTTCTCAGTAAGTTTGTGAGAGGACGGGCTACTTCCGCATAGTTGTTCACAAAACGTCTGAAGTACGAGCACAGACCGAGAAAGGTGCGGACTTCCTTGGTGCAGGTTGAAATGGGGAAGTTCCGCACGGCTAGCACTTTATCGGGATCAGGGCGTACACCAGAGGAGTCGACAAGGTGGCCCAACACGGTTAGTTGCTGGCGTCTGAAGTGGCACTTTGACGAGTTGAGTTGGAGACCGGCATTGCGAAAAACAGCCAGTATTGAGGATAGGCAGTCGAGGTGGGTCTCAAAAGTTGGAGAAAAGACGATAACGTCGTCAAGGTAACATAGACAAATTGACCATTTGAACCCACGCAAAAGAGAGTCTATCATCCGCTTGAAGGTGGCCGGAGCGTTGCATAACCCGAAGGGCATGACCTTAAACTGGTAAAGACCATCGGGCGGGACAAAAGCGGTCTTTTCACAGTCCATGTCGTCTACAGCAATTTGCCAGTACCCTTATCAATGGACGAAAAATACTTAGCGCCGTGAACACAATCCAGGGCGTCCTCTATGCGCGGTAGCGGGTAGATGTCTTTTTAGTAATCTTGTTCAGATGTCAGTAGTCAACACAGAATCGCCAAGTGTTGTTTTTTTTTTTTTTGACAAGAACTGCAGGGGAAGCCCATGGACTACATGATGGCTCAATTATATCTCTGGCGAGCATTTTGTCGACTTCTGCTTGAATTATGTGACGCTCGGTTGGAGATACGCGGTATGACCGTCGATGGACAGGAGAGGCATCGCCGGTGTCAATGCGGTGCTTTCCAGCAGTGGTATGACCTAGCGGACGATCACAAAAGCCAAATACGTCCCAGTATGACTCAAGGACGTGAAAGAGTGCGTCGGCTTGATGTGGCAAAAGGTCTGACGCGATCATTTTTTAACGTCAGCAGACGGGCTTGCTTGCGAAGATGGAGAATGCGTGTAGTTACAGTGTCCAGCATCGTTCGAAGACAGAGCTGACATGACGCATTCGTCAGAGGGAGTCAGCATGGCGAGGGCAATTTTACGCGGGAGCACTTGTGGACACAGAGCAAAGTTGAACACAGGAATGAAGGCGTGGTTTGCACGTAACTGAATAACAGTGTGTGGTAAGGTAACACTGTGAGTCAAAAGAATGGATGTAATAGGCGCGAGCACATAGTCGCCATCGGATACAGGTGGTGAGGGCATTACGGTGATGCAGGTCACAGTTTGTGGTGACAAACGGACATGCCCAGCAGAGCACATACGAGCTTGGGGTGGACTGGGCGGATGAATCGGACACGGTAGGTCAAGTTGCACAGTACCAGCTGAACAGTTGATGAGGGCGGAATGAGTGGACAAAAAGTCAAGACCGAGGATCACATCATTGGTGCAGTGAGAGAGAAGAGTGAAGAGAACTGAAGTTTGTCGGCCGGCGATAGTGACACGTGCAGTACAGACGCCAATAACCGAAGCCGTACCACCATCAGCAACATGAACACTGCGTGAAGGGGCTGAAGTAAGGACTTTCTTTAAGCGGTCACGAATGTGCAAGCTCATCACAGAAATATGGGCGCCAGTGTCCACCAAGGCTTTAACAGATAAACCGTCCACTTCAATGTCGATCAGGTTCTGATTGGTCGGGAGCGTCACAGAGGAATTGGAGAGCAAGTCGTATCAGCAGCGTCACCTCCAGGAGCTGCAGCCGTTAGTTTTCCGAAGAAAACCACTGGGCAGAGGATGGGGACGGGGAACGGGGCAGCCGCGGACACCGGGAAAATTTGCGTCGAGGTGAAGGTGAACGACTGTACTGGGCAGTGGTCGTAGTGGTCGGGTCGTAATTAGCTGAGCCATCAGGCCGTGGTAGTTCCTGGCCATAGAGATGGGCTGGTGAGTGGAGGTTGGAGAAGCTTGAGTTTGCCCGATACGGTGAGGTCCACGTGTTTCGGCAATGGCGGGAAAAGTATCCCACTCGTTCACATCGAAAGCAAATCGGCCTGTCGTCAGGCGTCCTCCACGCATTTGGGTCACGGTTACGTGGAGCAGGGCGGCGATAATGCTGTCGGTGACTGAAGGTAGATAATCTGACAGCGTCGGGACGGTGCACAGAACAGACCGTGTGAATACCCGCGTTGGCTAGTTCTTGGCGAACAACCGTCTGTATTAGCAATGTGTTCGGCCGAGGATCACTCAGTGCTAGTGCTCTCAAGGGTGTGGGTGATATGACCTCGATTTCACGGCGTACAATTCTCGTGATGTCACCGGAACGTGAATTGGGCTGGGTCGCTATACGAAGATTCTCGCAAGTTGACGTCGCAGCAGTGTTGGGAAGGCGCGTAACGTGGTAGGCAATGCGACGGCTTTTAGCCTCTTGAAAGCGTTGGCACTCCAAAATAACATCTTGCACGGTGGAACAGCCTTTGCACACAAGAAGGTTAAATGCATCGTCTGCGATGCCCTTGAGCACGTGCGCTACGTCTGCTTCAGCCATGGTTCGGTCAATTTTACGGCAAAGAGTCGGCACATCTTGTATATACGCCAGGTAAGACTCCGTGGACGTCTTAACACGTGTGCCAAGTTCTTTCCTAGTGGCCTGCTTGCAGCCAGCAGATTGACCAAACAACTCGCGTAACTTGGTCTTGCATATGTCACAGCTTGTGATCGCGTCCACGTTGTTATTAAACCATGCCTTGGCTGTTCCTTGCAAATAAAAGATGATGTTTGCCAGCATCAACGTTGGGTCCCACCTGTGGTTTTCGCTGACGAGCTCGTAGAGTTTAGCCACTCATCCACGTCCTCGCCTTCCGTTCCCGAAACATTGCCGGGATCGCGGGGTGGGGCGGCCACGAGAAAAACAGGGGAGGTTGGCGCCGTTGATGCATAGGGCGCGGCAGTTGACGAAGCGTCACTGCCGGTAGACATGTCGGAAGCAGCGACTAGAGGTCCGCTGCATAACTCCGTCGTGCGTTGTAACCCAGCATCTTCCACCAAAATGTTACGTGAAGGTACACGCAAAACTAGGCGTTTGAAGATATATTTACACAGTGCCAACGCGCAAGCCAAGATCGAGAACAAGAACTGTGCCCTACACCAAAATCACGTCGTCTTTCTCCGCGCCTATCTAACCGCTTTTGTGGGACATTGTCTCATAACAGTATTTTACAGGTTATCACTCTCATCACACCGAAAATCAGATTGTGCTGCTACTCAAAGTTCTTTTGACTTCCTCTGAATGAAAAAAAAAGGGCAATTGCATATAGGCATTTTTTGAATGAAAAAAAAAAATGTGTAGGTTAGTTAGGTCATGATAATTATGCTCATTTTCCTTTATATGTCGTATACACTATTTGAATTCGATTCGAAATGATTTGACTGAAATTACTATTCGCTTCGAACCTAAAATTCACTATTCGCACAAGCCAACTAAAATTAAAATATAAGTGCACGCTGCACCAAAACTGAGGCTGTGCCCGCTAAAAATGTCACTGAATAAATTACTGTCACGCCTCCACGCAAACGAGGTTTCCAGCCGTGATAAGTTCGTCATGAGCTACCTATTGAAAAAAAAAGGCGAAATTTTTGTGTCAGTGCTCCTTTAAAATTTGAAGATAAGACGTCTGTACCATTGGTGTTTGGCGTGAATCTTTGCTGCGTCTAGCTAGGTTTTGCTACCCACCATATTTACATGGCAAATTTACCTCCACTACACTCTGAATAATAATAATAATAATAATAATAATAATAATAATAATAATAATAATAATAATAATAATAAAGAAGGAACACCACACAGTGAAGCACATTCTGTAACAAAAATCTATTGACACAGTCCCTGGACTGACGACTAGTCCTCACTAAAGTTGTCATCAAGCTAGCCCTTTTCAAGAAATTTGGTGCCCGGGCACTGGTGGCTTTGAAGTGTGTCTTTGGTATTCCTGTCTCAGAAGTGAAAATACGAGCTTTTTGCATGACCATTTCATGTGCCGTTAGCAATGTCAAATCACGTAGTTCAGTCACATGCGCAACAAACTTCAGAAGTAGTCCAGACTTCAGTGCACGAAAGCTTTGGTCCTTGGTGTCTCATGTAAATATTTGGTCATGTTGCAGTTGTTACTGCCGTACCACCTATTTGAAACTCCGAACTTGCCTACCGCTATGCATTATTGGTTTTCCAGCATGGAGAATAGCAGCCCTTTTGAATGTCGCTGTGATTCAGTGCTGAAAGTTCCTGGGGCAGGAGCACCCATGACAATGAAGCATAAGTAGCAAGCACGAAGGTTTCTCGTTGCTGTCAAAACAAATGTGCTAAAGAGCCAGAAAGAGAGGCTCTTCCTTTGAAGCACTGGTAACCCACAAACAAAGTACGCTGCTGATAAAAACAGCGGCTGTTCCATAAGTGATCGACACTTGCACCTGGGAACTCCCACAAGTAAAAAGAAAAAAAAAAATCTTTTGGAACAAGTACAAAAACTATATGCTATGGTTAGAGCTGGAAAGCAAATGAAATGTTGTAATCATACCTTAGCCCCCCTGATTTCTCATTTGTCTTGTCATTACTGGTACGTAGTACATGCACTTTTACCCTCGATTCCAAGTTGACCCCCCCCCAACCACTTCAAATTTTTAAATGGTAATTCAAGATAACACCTACGATTGTGCAAATTTGGTAAGTCTTTTTTCCTGCCTGTTGCATTCAGGGTCTTCAAGTAGCTGAAAAACAGTTTGTTAGTCCTTGGGACTTGCTCGAAGGTCAGCGAAACCCAGCACCACTTTTGTGGGCGTGGTTCGGGGCAGTACGCATGGAGCGCAAGCCTCGTCTGGAGGAGATGCCCCGGAACAGTCTTCTGTGGCACACACATTCCGCCCTTGCCAAGCCAGCTTCTTATTTCCTGGAACCGCCACCCCTACCTCCCGAGGAGCTTTTGGAGCCACCTGCGATCCTCCCGGCAGTGCCACCAAATGTGGGAGTGGGTGGGCCTCACTTAGGTCCTCCCCCACACTTGGCCCCGCCCCCACACCTGGCCCCCCCCCACCACCTTGTGCCTCACCTGGCTCCACCTCACATGGGCCAGCCCCCTGACAAGCATCTGCAGGTACAGTGAACTACAAAGCACTGGTTCATACGAAGCACTTGCCTTACTTCCGCCAGTATATTTATTGCATTGGGTGTTTTCATAATTTAAATAAATTGAGTAAGCATTGAGTATTTTGGTTGTGACACTGTAGCATGTATGATTTGGACATTGCTCAATCACCTGATACGTATTGTGAACTTGAGAGGCCTCAAATTAAGTTTTGCATACACTTAGCTTGAAATGTTTATGGACCATGCAATGTAAAAAAAAAGTGCAATATCTTTTCGTAATCTGGGCATCTGGTCTGGTATTATTTATAGCCTCTACTAGTATTTGCCAACAACGTGGTTTTGTACAGTTTTACAAGGTGTAGTACAAAATGCTAGGAAAAGTGCATTTTATTACATTCTGAGGTTTGTAAACATCTAATCAAAATCTGAGTAATTTCATTCACGACAAACGAAAGGTCAAATACAACATAGGTGTATACAGAAAGGGGTCTCGTCGTTACAAACTGAAACGGAGCCTCCATTTAATTCCAAGCATGTACAGCCTTCTAAATTTTGAAGGTAGCTTAAGTGTCAAACACGAGATGCGGTAATGCTTCATTCTGGTGAGAGGCAACGAGACCAGTGATACAGTATGCTAGCACGCCAAATAAATTTGAGCGCAAGTGCTGCCTGCTGCGCGGTTCAATTAGTGTGCGCATGGGTCAGTTTCCCGATCACGATGGTCATAGATTCATTTGATAAATGCAGAATATCAAACGAGCTTTGGACTATGGGAAAGTGACCTGAAATCCTTTATAGATGGCTAACTTTCTGGTATGAGGATTACGGGCATAAATAAGTAAATCATTATTGTGCTGAGGTACGAGTTTGCTGGTTTCATCCTTCAGAAGGGCGGGTGGTGTGCTTCAATTTTTTATTCTTTGTATAGACACAAATATTATGGTCACATTCAATTTGAGATTGTGTTTCAATTGTGGTTAAATTCTGCCAGATCAATAAGCATCACTTGGCTGTACTCTGTTTCTCACCTCGAGTTTTTGTCTTCTCACCAGATGCAGCTGCTGGAAGAGTCCAAGCGAGCATTGCACGAGATACACAGCGCACCCTCACCGCGTGGAGGTGCCAAGAAGCCCAAGGCCCAGAGGCGGCCTCGCAAGGCCAAAGGTCTTGCAGGGCAGGTCTGTTCCTTACCCTCCCTCTTTTTAGCTGTGTGACCAATTCACTGCTGCTACTGTGTGAAAAATTTGCAGGCTTCACTTTATCTGCATTGTGCACCCAACTGCAAGAAATAAAGTACTAGCCACTCATTGCCTACAATAGCCTTCCAGATCTTATGGTGTATTTTTGCGGTTAACTGTACATGTGGCCCCAGACAAGGCAAAGGCACAAAACCAGGAAATATTTCTCAAAAATATATGTGCGCATCGACCTGCAAGTCTTGTCATCTGGTACAAGGGTATTGCTTGTTGGGCGAGTTAGTCATCTGGTGCTGCCAGTTTTTTTTATAGAACCCCAGTTTTTGCCAGCTTTTCATAGAGTGGGCGAGTGAAATTAATACAAGTAATTTGCATTCTTAAAAAATTAACAACTTGGTGCACCAGACATTGAGCTTCATTATTTTGGGTTTCTTAGCAATCGTGACTGACTTAGCTTTTGTGATGACTGTTTATATAGCTTTGTGCCAAGAAAGTTTTGCTTGGTTTATGGTTGCTGTGATGTTTTCGTGGATGGGGTAAGAACATAAATTGGGAGAAAATTTTTTTTAAAGAATGCAACCTTCTCTGCACTGATCACAAATTTTGTTCAGTTACTGATGAATTACCTACTTGTTAAAGACAATGTTGGTGGGACAAGTGTTGTTAAATATTTGATGCGTTTGCAATGCCTTGAAAAAGTGCGAAATTGACAAAATCTAATATTATAAATTTTATCTTCACTGGCAGTTTTTGTTTTTATGATGAATTCAAATACATAATTGCTTCTTTGAAATCCAGACTGATTTAGTGCTTCTCTATAGCGTCCCTTATTCAGTTTCATCCACGGTGCTGTGTGCTGCCCTGTTGTTTGCAGGCCCCGCCGGTCCGTGGCTCCTTGGCGTACCCCCCTGAGCAACAGCCCATGTACCCCCAGGGACCACCTCCGCCTCCACAGCAGTGGTACGGACAGCAGCCACCACCCATGCAGCAGCCATCATACTACGCACCCCAGCAGCCCTTGCCCCCAGGTGCGCCTTTCATTGCTCAAACTGCACTGTCGCCCCAGGAGGGGCTCAGCCTGATTCCCACACCCTCTATGGGGGACAAATGCAATGTTGCAGGCACGAGACGTATGTGAGACAGCATGCCACTTACTCTCGAACTATAAGTCTTGGGTAGAATGCGATTAGACTGTACCATACTGTACACCCATTTTCCTTGGCCTCAGTTGTAGTCTTGTCAAGGTTTACTATTAAGGAACATATGCCTTACAGTTATATCATAGCACATGCCCTCCCTCTACCCTTAACATTATTTATTCAACATTATAAATGCACATTATTTTTTATTTAATGCAGCAGACCTTTATTAATTTTTCAGTTTATGCAAGTTATTAGAAGTCGCATAGGAACATGCGTAGTCTAAGTTAAGGGGGAAGAAAAGCACACAAATCTTAGTTATCTTGATTTTGCGTCTACATTTCTTTGCCAAGTTGCCAAGACTTGTGAAGTTCAGAAAAATATTTCGTGCACATGCGTGCATATACTTCATATCTGCATATATTTTAGCGCATAGAGGCTTGGATAAGTAGCCGATTATTTCCACTGTTACAGCTTGCACCGGTACAGTAGAAGCTCGTTGATAGGTTCCTGCTTAAAACGATTTCGCTCGAAATTGGGTAAACCATAAATGCTTCTATAGCGCTATGTGTTAATACGTTTCGGTAAATATGTTCCCAGAAAATACGATAATTCGGCAGCAACATTTGGTATTGCGGCAGCAGCAACGTATTGATGTGCATTTAAACATGGGAGTGTTGGTCAGTGCCACTAGTAGCCACATCTGTGAGTTGCAGCAGTGCTCATGTTGAAGTAGGCGGGGCAATAATCAGAGATGCTGTGAAAGACCATGGGAGTGCAGTCATGACTTGGAACATCCCAGGGAATTTAATGTGGCGGTGTACTGCAGTGAACGAGTGTGCCTTTGAAGTAGAATCACTGTGTAAGGCCTGTTCCACATCGCTGGCTCCTGCTGAGCTTGTCATGTTGATGTTTTAGGTGCTTTGCTGTGCATTGCATAAGTCATTTCTACAGCCTCAGCATAAAATTATACATATTTGAATATTGCAGAATGATGTGTCTTTTCTAACTAGGAATATTCAGTTACAATTACGAGCAGTAGTGTACAGAGCCCCACGAATTCACTAGCATTTATCTGTAGGCCAATGCGTTGTACAGTTGCCTAATTGTGCTTGTTTGTTTGCAGTGTAGATTGGCTTTTTTTCACAATGTTCAAAAGTAATTTATTCTATAGAACAGCTTGGAAGGTTAGCAGCATCTAGGAGTCGCTAATTAAGTCCTTGAATGCATGCTCAGCAGTCTGCATTACCCCGCAGTATAGCTGATTGTATTAATGCCCCTCTTTTTCATTTTCATGGTGCAATGATTAACTGTAACACTGTACATGCACGTGTCAAGTATTAATGATAGCCCCGCTTCAACCCTCAAACCCGTCCTTCCCCACCCTACTGTCCTTATCCTGTCTCCCGTCCTTGGTCTCTCGCCCAATCCTGGCTGCCCTTTTTTTATTTTATTTTAAATTGCCTGATTTTCAACATTTTCATTTCTTATTATTTTTCACTTACAAACTTGTGATTACAACAATAACTTCTATTTGTATTTGAATCACTGAATAATATCTGGAAATATTTTCATGTAAATGCCAAATTTTATTTTGTATATTACGATTTGTTATTCTATAATATTAATAACTGCTTATTTTCTTTTCTTTTTTGTGGCCCCTTGCTTTTCTTTTCTCTTTCACTTTGTTTTTATTGTTTTTTCTATTTCCGTTTTATCTCATTTCTTTTCATTCTGTTATGTGTCTGCTTCTCTCTCTCTCTCTCTTTTTGTGCATTTTCTGCATGGCCAAATGCCCTCTCTTGACTTTTCTGTGCCTTCCATGCTTCTTGATTTCTGTCTTTGGTGTCTTTCTTATGGCACACCCCTTTTTGTGCTATTCCGGTCTGTTTTATCACCGACACATCATCAAAAACCTGTCCCTCTGCTTCATGCCTGTCCATGTTTGTTTTTTACTGCTGCTTCGTTCCTGGCACTTGCGAATTTCATTTCATGTGTTATCGTAACATCTCTGACTTGTTGCAAACTATCTTACCATGACCAACCTTGGCTTTGTTGGCGTCATCTCTGTTTTCATTTGTCTGTCTTGTCACTATGTCCTGCTCTTTTGCTGAACCGCATTTGGCTTGGTCGCATTTTTATTGCGGACTCAACACACCTTTCTCACCATTCCATTCGGTTCACTTCCAAATATCCATCAACTTGTTCACCATTCCCCTAACGGTTTTTTCTTCTTTCACCTTCTACATGCTGTGCTGGGCCTGCTGTGGCCATGCTATCAATGATGTTGCTTGTCCAATACCTTCACCCTCTCCTGTCACTGCGTTCCTGTCACTGCGTGAATTCTCTCTGTGCTACCGGTAATATTTTTGCACTGTTCCATCTGTCTTGGACATCTTGAATTGGTATGATGTCAAAAACCCGTGGCGTTCATTCCACCTCGCTCCTCTGGCTGCACATTGTGCAATACTCAACAACCTTTTGTTCCTCTGCTTATCTGGATTTTCGCTTCTTCCTGGTGCATTTGCATTTTTTGTTGTTCCTACTACTTCCATCCTACTTTCTCCTTTCTTGTCCTTGGGCTGCTACCTTCTTCCCCTTCCCCTACCCTGTACCCTCCTTCTCGGTGCTCTGTCAGGAGGACCCCGCTTTGAGCGCCAGCTTTCTCAGTCCAAGGCTGCTCTCAGCTCCATGCTGCGAGCTCGTCACCCTTCAGCACAGTTTCTTGGTGGGCCACCGCAAGGAGCTCCCCAGGGCCCTCAGGGGGCACCTCAGGCCACCATGCAGGGTCCAGTTGGTGGACCTGGAAGCGGCGGTGCGCCGCCGTATGCCCCACCAAACATGGACATGCTGCAAAAGCAGCAGCAACAGCGTCATCAAATGATGATGCGCCAGCAACAGATGCGCCCCCAGGGCATGGCTCCTGTGAGTTGATTAACTAGTTTTGTTTGCTTTACTTGTTCAGGCATGATGGTACAGGCAACAAACTGATGCCATTGAGAAAAAAAATGTCATCTTCATGTTTATGAGTGCTGCAAGCATAGAAGTTGTAACAGCATTGGAATAATGGGTACAGTCACACAAATCTTTAACTACCATGCATGAGTGGCGGTTTTTCTGTGTGTCCTCACCATATGACTAAATTAAGAGAAGACACTGGTCTCAAATTTTATAAAATTTGGAGTATTTAAAGCTGAAAATTTTGTGATATGCATTTCTCACAGCTGAAAAAATATATGCAATTAGTTTTCAGCTGTAACTTGCAGATTTCAAAATATTGACTGTTCCATAAACTTACATTCTGCCCACTGTTTAGACAGCTTTCTCATAAAAGATGGCTGCAAATTAGATATGGCAGTGTTCTGTGAAGAACAGAGAGTGCAAGGAAACCATAATTTTATTTTTAGCTTCATTGATTCAAGAGTTATTGCCTTAACAAGTAGACTTGTCAGAAATCATAAACTGTTGCTTAATTATATCACTAATTAAATAACTGTTCTTAATGAAATTATCATAATCTGTTGGTCTTGTTGCACTCGTCAATGTATAAGCTTTCAAATGCTGCAACAATTATCAAAATCCTATCACTAAATCAAAAGATACTGTGGGCAATAGCCTCAGACTTGATAAAAAATGTTGTTTGAGAAAACAAAAAAAGAAGTTTAGGGGACACGGTGAGCATGTATATTCAACAGGTAATGGTGTAAATCAGTGCAGTAATGAAGCTAGAAGCCACCGGGAGTGTAGTTATCATTCTTCAAGCGTTTTCTTTTCATTGCATGCCAGATGTTTCCAGGGTTTCCATAGTTCAGATTGGCATACAGCGTTTTGACGATGCTTGCGCAGTTGTCAGTAGCGTGCGTGGCAGCCTTCTATGAAACAGGAATTATTTCCACATTCACATAATCTTATATGTCTTTGCATCTCCGTGAAACATTCAGGGTAGAAAAAAAATGCAATTCAATGCAGTTTGTCCATTTGCTGTGCCGCGCGAACCGCGAGCACGTTGATCTCGGATGGGTCGCCCGCCGCTGACCGACAGAAAAGTCACCACTGCACACGATAGTTAAAGATTTGGGCAGCGATACATTACATATTTGCCTATTATGTATCTCTTTGGCAAATAAAACTCAATGCAATTCTTCTTCTTATGACATCAAATAACAGTCTCTATTTTTCCTTACTTGCCAACTCTCAATATATGCATTCCAATGCGATGACTGGCACCAAAATAATAGTTATAGACGATTTTCCGCAGCAGTCCACGGGCTCTACCTTATTTGATTACGTTACCATAACTGGCCTTCTCCCAGCCAGTCACCCGAGCAACGCATTAGGCCAGCGAAGCGGCTATGGTCGTAGCTGAGGTACAAGCCAATAGTCAGCACCCATGCACACACGACCCGCCACTTGCTACTCGCCCACTGTTGCCGCAGACAATAAATGAATAGTGAAATCAGCTGCCACATTGTGTCGTCCACACTGTGGACAAAGTGTCAGCTATGTTCTGTATTTATTGAGGAAATTAGCCTCTGCTTATTTAGCCGTGCTTGCTAAGCCTAGTCTCCAAGAATTTGAGAATGAGTCTTGAAAACACTGCAAAATACCGACGAATACCCTGCACTCGCTTCAGAACGTAAATATAAAGCAAATAAATGTGTATGTTGTGAACTTACAGCCCACAGTGCAGGATGACGACGTGATAAGATCGAGGCGGAAGGAAACTGAACCCATAGGTGCCGTCATGTTGACTTTTCCAGTGCATCCGTCTGCTTCGTCGGCGTCCCCATAGCGTCTGCCTGAAGCAGACACTATGAGTACTCCGAGCAGATAACGTGACGCAGATGTTGGCAGTGCTGCAGAGGGCCACGGCAGAACAACCATGGTAGGGAGACGGCCATGGTGTTGTGCGCCATCTAGTTTTAAATGAACAACGCAGCTGCAGAAAATCGTCTATAGTATATGTATAGATGAATGAATCTAAGTAAATAAAGAAAACAGTGCTGCAAGCTTCTTTTTGATTAAGGCTCCATGATGATGCATGTAACTTACTATTATTTCCAAACTTTTGTTTTATATTCGAAGTGCCCATATCACTTTTTGCATTCAATTCACAACATTTTGCTGGTCGTAGGAAAATGAAGTGAATGAGAACTTTGTCATTGCCATTGAGTGTGCCTGTTTTGAAGGATATACAGTCGACTCCCGGTAATTCGAAGTTGCTTAATTGGAAGTTTCTGTAATTAGAATGAGCAAGTGGTCCCATCAGTTTGCATTGCAATCGTATAGAAAAAAATGTTTGATAATTCGAAGTTAAAAACCCATAATATTGGTTAATTAGAAGTTTGTTCAATCGACGTCTCGTTCGCGACCGTAATTTTACAGTAAATGGGGAACTTTTCATATGCCAAAACATCTGCCGGACCGTGCTGGTGTCTTCGCCATCACTACTGTCCGCAGCGCCACAGATCTTGAAGCGGCAATCTTTTTAACGCTGGCGAATCGCATCGGCGGCATCGACTGACTCTTTAGTTGACTTTTGTCGAGACTCGAGTGTGTCACCACGTCACCCGCGCGCTGGGTTGATTCCACACGTGTTTCCGCGCTTCTGATTTTGAGTGTTGTGGTGGTGACGTACGTTTGATAATGGCAACTCGTGGCCCTTACCGAACGCTAAACCTAGCGACGAAAGTCGAAGTCTTGAAGGAAGTTGACCAGGGAGGCACCGCCAAACAAGACATTGCAAGAAAGTACGGCATTAAGCCTAACACGCTGTCGACTTTCATAAAGAATAGGCGCTCAATATTGGATGCGTTTGAAAGTGAAAAATCCAAGACATCGCGTAAGCGGATGCGCACCGGCGCCTACCCCGAGTTGGAGGAAGCACTGCTGATTTGGATTAGAGAGGCACGAAACAACAAACTTCCTCTCAGTGGTGAAGTCGTCACTGCAAAAGCGTCATCGCTTGCTGAAATGTTGGGCATCAACGACTTCGCTGCTTCGGATGGGTGGCTTACGCGTTTGAAACATCGCCACGACTTGATTTTTAAAAGCGTGTGTGGGGAGAAGGCGTCAGTCGATGAGGAAACGTGCCTGACATGGAAAGCGGGCAAGCTTTGTGAGTACCTCGAAGAATACCAGCCGGCAGCCATTTTTAATGCAGACGAGACTGCGCTTTTTTATCGGCTGCTACCGGACCAGACCCTGACATTTAAAGACGACGACTGTTCTGGAGACAAAAGAAGCAAAGAGAGAGTGTCGGTGCTAGTCGCGGCGAACATGACTGGCACAGAACGGTGTCGCCTGCTTGTGATCGGGAAGGCTGTCAAGCCTAGGTGCTTTAAAGGCGTGAAGACGCTTCCTGTGGATTATGCCTCGAACAGAAAGGCGTGGATGACATCCGATATATTTAAGGACTGGATCACCAAACTCGACCGCAAGTTCGCGCAATCAAACCGTAAGGTGTTGTTCCTTGTGGACCAATGTAGTGCCCACATGAACGTACCTGCCTTCAGTGCCATCCGTCTTGTGTACCTGCCTGCAAACACGACGTCCGTGTTGCAGCCCAAGGACCAGGGCATAATAAAAAATGTGAAGGTATTGTATAGGCAGCATCTCGTCGAGCGCATGCTTTTGTGCATGGACAAATCGTCGCAATACGACGTGAGTTTGCTTAGTGCCATCAACATGCTAGCGCGAGCATGGACCCGCGTGAAAGAAGAAACCATCGCCAATTGTTTCCGGGCCTGTGGTTTTATGGAAAACTCGGGGGATGCTTATCCTGGTCGCCAGTGGAAGTGCAAACAAATGAGCTCGACGACGGTAGCTTTCGCGCCGCTCTCGGTGACGTCCGTTTTGACGAGTATGTCGCTGTGGACAGCAACGTCGAAACATGCGGTCCACTAACGGACAGCGAAATCGTGCAGATGGTTCGGCCCCATGACTGCATTCCTGAAAATGACGACGACATCGGAAATGAGCCACCACCGAGGGCTGCCGATGTAGCTGCGGGTCTTGCTCTTGCGCAGCGGTTTTTTGTTGGAGAACACAACGCCGAAGAAGCACTTCGACACGTGTATTCCTTACAAAACTTGCTAGCCGCAGCCAGATTCGGCAAGCAGAAGATGACAGACTATTTTTCCTCAAAACTGTCGCACTTTTAAACTAATAAAAGTGCCGTTTTTAGTGCTTTTTGCTTAATTCGAAGTTCGTTTAATTCGATGAATTTGCGGATCCCGTGAACTTCGTATTAACGGGAGTCGACTGTAATTAGCGCCGACGCTTTTGCGTGACTCTTGTCCACACTTTCCGAACAGGCCAGCAGCAGTGAATCTTCAACGTATTGCTCAATAATAACTGTTATTGTCAAGGAATATTATTCGAGGAAGTTAGTTCACTGATATGAATAGGTATAAGATACACCAGTGGGCCTACATAGAAATAGGGATTGATAAAAAAAATGGAAACGTGGTACTCTGCTTATAATAGGCACCTAATATCAATAACAAGAATTTCTATCTGATGCATCTCTGTTATAAAGGGGTTCAACTCTATTTTTTATGCTTTAGTTACATGTAGTTTCAGATAATATCCTCAACTGTACAATAGGTGCACGACCTTATTTAACATGCAGTTTCTGTTTGCACCTTTAAAGTATGTGTGCGTCAAAGCTCTACATGAAGCAAACAGGTGATGAAACCTTTAGCAAAGGTTTCATGATCTGTTGCCTTCTTGTAGTTACGACTAACAAAAGCTGGGTCTTTTGGTTTCTCACCTCTCTTGTTTATAGATATCTGTGTGGGCATATGTTCTTGCCTGGCCCTTGTTTACTTTATGGTAGGCTTCTGCTTGTTGTTCTCTTTCATGTGGTCACGGGGTAATTATTGGTGATAGGGCACTTACATTGAGTATGAATCTGGTAGTTTTCTCTTGGCCCTCGGTAGACTAATCATTATGAGAAAGTTTTATTCTTGTGCTGGCCATCTATTGTCAGGCTGTGAGAACAGGCATGGAAGTTGTGTTTGGTTGGGAAGCACTTGCTGGAGGTATGGCATGTGAGCAATAGTTGGTTCTGCTATTCAGTGCATACAAGAATAGAACAAAACAGTGCAACCTGCCCAATTCGGGCTAGCCGCTGTTATCTAAACTGCGTATAATTTTTTATGTAGTTTTGTTTTAACATCTCTGACTTCCACTCATCTTGTTTTATGAGCTACTTTTTGAAATTTGATGCACCCCCAACGTTTTCTTTTTAATAAGGGGGCCTGGCAACACTTATCCGAGTAATCGTCAAATGTCTTCGTTAAAGAAGTTATTGCCTCAAGGTATGACTGCCATAAAAGTTTTTGTAATCTATCAAATACGATTTGAGTCACCAGGTTTATTCACATGCTATAAGTGCTTTCTCTCTCTTTTCTTGACAGCGAAAAAGCTGAAAGCTACCATTTGAGAGGGGGATCATATAAAAGGGGACAGAAATATACGTATATCCGTTAGCATACGTCGTGATCTTGGGCACTCAATTTAATTCAATTTTTCATTCAAACCTATGGCTTACTTTCAGTGTGGTCACGAGCAATCGCTCGGGCACGTCGTGGCATTCAGCAGCGGTAACTATGCTGCGCATAATGCTCAATCCAGCCAATGACCGCGGGGTAGGGTCATTTGGATTGATGGCATTATTTATTGAGAGAAGAGTGAGTGGCTTCTAATCAAATTCGAAAATGAATTGTAAATTGCAGGTCACTTGCCATGTTTTAAGGTTAGGCTCATGTGTCCTCGGGAGCTTGACTACCGATCGGCAGCGTTTTCTGACCATGCTCAAAAAGTGTTGCAGGGCCCCTTTAATAATGTAGTGGAAGTTTTTTGTTGAAATTAATCCTAATTGCTTTGTGGCAAAAATGTGAAAGGTGACCTGCTTCGTACTGCATGTTGAGCTGTGAAATTCTTTCATTCTTTTCAGATTATTTTCGAGCTGTGGGTGAGCATGAACCAAAAGTTTTTTTTTGGATTTGCTGCTACTAAATTGCACCATTCTTACTAACAAAATCATCCGTGTGCAAGCTTGATCTGTTGTCTGAAGCAATGGTACCCTTGCTTTTAACAAGGATGGTTAGTGTCGTTGTTACATCACCTGTTTATATTTCATAGGTTTGTCATAATTGATGGGTGTGCAGCAGTGCTAACAGGTTAACTGCCTCACTCATGCCAGCTTGGCATAGCTTTGACTACCGTATATTTGGTGCAGTCGGTGCAATTTCTGTACTTGCACGTAGCACGCTAGAGTTAGTTTGCTAATTTCTTTAAAAAATTCTTCTTATATTATTCCAATGCTTTTGGGTGGAAAATTCTTGTTATATACTATGGCAAAGCTTATTCTGCATCAGTACACTATAATTAGGGGATCTTTGATATTGTGGGCTTATGGGTGGCATGTAATTCATGAATTATCTTACTACTTAATCATTATAACACATTGTTATGCTAGCAGTAAGACATTCTTTCCATCTTGTTGGCACTGTCTTAGACATTGAAAGTGGAAGTTAGTATTCACATGCAAATTTTTATAGTGTGACCACTAATTAAGAAAGTCCAATAGAGTGAATAACTTACTGAAAATGGCATCGTGGAATTTAGGTATTTGATAAAACTGCACACAAAAGGGCAGTCATTAGGCACACATAAAATAATGCAAACACAAGTGCTGGAGTGCAACTGATGCGTTATTGTTGGAAGACCTGTTTTGTATAGGAAAACACATACATGTGCACTGATAGTAGTAAAGGTGATTAAGGTCATAAAAAATTAAGTTGCCCAGTTATGAGGTGTTTCTGATAAAAATTGCAATGACCAATGTATCGGCATGCTTTTTCAGAGTATGATACCGAGGGGCAACTGACACATATATCTTTCCATTAATTGAATTTCATTTCTTTGGTTTGTGTTTAGTTTTGAGCACATGCAGTTCTTGAATAGTGTTGTACATTTTTTAGCCTACTTCAGCACAGTCATTTTAGTGTGGCCGTTCGGAGAACCACATTTAATAGCGTAAAAGGGCTTAATAATCTAAAGCTGGTCAGCTATCGGTGAGTGAATTTCGATTTTTCATGTAGCATATTAACTTACCTGTTCTGATCACATCCACAGAAATCAGTGTTTGTCTTGTGCCTGGTCTAACAAAGCCTTGGTTAGAAATTTAGTTGATTCCTATTATATTTGAGCAAGAGTGAGTATTATGAGGCAGGTAAGTGAAGCGTTATCCATGTTTCTGTCTGTGTTCTTGAATGAGTGTCATGTCACAAAAGTCTGAAGCATGTTCCCAAGTACTGTTTGTCGCTGTGCAGTCCCTGTCCTGTTAAATGAAAATGTTTTCTGTAGAATATGTTGCTGCGGGCAACTAAATACTTTTCTCGTCTTCTCTTCTCTGTGCTGGTGGTGTCCGTGGTTCATTGGTGTTTGCACAAATGTCTTATTGCCTATTACTTGCCCAAGGTTCATACGTTTTGAGGAGAGCTCTTCAGCAGTCTACCTTGCTTAGCACTGCTTCAAAGCCATGCTACCTTGTTTGTGGGTTTATCAAATCAATGTTGAGCAGAGTTGTGAGTTGGGCAAGTTGTAACGAATTATGGTACTGAGCCCAAGCACGAGACACGAGTCGCGTGTCTCTCGTGTTTCCACTCAGTACTGTAATGAATCGGTGTTGAGTCCTGGGTATTATCTTCGAGTGCTTGATGGTATTCTTCTAGTGCTTTCAAGATGGCTTCTAGATCTTTCAAGTGGTGAGTAAGACCATAAGTAGGAAGCAGTGCTGGCTTTTCAGATTGCCCACATTACCAGAGCTACCGAGAAAAAAGGGGCAGAGAGAAAAAAAGACATTTTATCTTCCAGTTTAGTGCAGCGCTTATTTGTTGCTGGAGCTTGGAGAAAGCTTGATCCTCGTGAAATGAAGTTTTTAAAATGTGTTTGTTGATCATGTCCTGGCAATGAAACGCGACATAGTGACCATTGCTATTGAGCCCTCTAGTACCAGTTTACTTCCTCTTGACATCAGAAGATTTAGCAAGTACAAAGTGCCTTTATATTTCTAAGCACATGTGACCACTATGCTTCAATGGCACTACTAACGTGGGCATTATGCTGTAGTTCTTCTTGAGTTCATATGCCTAAACGTGCATTACCTACTGTAACTTGTATTTTCGGTGAGTTAAGTCATTAACGGTAATTTTACTGAAAAATCAATTGTACTACAGTGACGGTGAATGAGTAAAAAAAAGCAATTATAATCAGGAACAGTACTGCTGGAGAGTAATTGGTTATGAACTTATCCATAGTTAATTAAAGCATAATGTGATGGTTTTGTTAAAATCATTAAAACCAAATTCATGAAGAAAACTTGACAGACCTTTTTTTTCTCTGTTTCCCCTTCCTGTACAATCTTCTTTGCTTGCATGCAGACTTTCCATTTGCCTATTGCCATATTTATGCCTCCTCGTCCAGGAGGCATGTACAAGTCGGTGCATTTCCAAAATGCAGCCATGCTGAACTTTGGTTTCACAGATATTCCAACTTTATTCTTGCACTATGTGTTCAGATTGGTTAAAAGTTTGCTTTCCTTCGGCAACCAGGATGCCATGGATAGGTAGTGCTCTGATGGTTGAGTGAGAATTTCGTAAAGGAAGCTCAGAGGTTACATTTGCTGCTTAGAGGTGCGGCTGTGTTGAGTCCCTTTACTGCTTTCGTAAGCATTCTTAAATTTTAAGCTCGAGAAATTCCTGGCCATGGTAGCTGCATTTTGATGGCGGAAAAACACAAAAAACACCTGTGTACTTATGGGTGCACAATAAAGAACATCAGGTAGCCATAATTAATCGGAAGTGTGCCACTATGACTTGCATCGTAATCAGGCCTTACTTTTGGCAGATGAAATTCCTCAATTCAATTCATTTACTTTACGGCAAAACGTTCCAGCAAGATATAGTGTTTCAGATGTATACAGTCTGGAATCTGCAACATTGCATTGCTCGTGAATCTCAAGTTTTCCCCTTTTTGCTCATTGGGAAGAGATTTCGCATTGCCTTGTAAGGTGTTGTTGTCATTCAATCAAAAGTTCATGGCCTGGGCTCACCAAACTTTTATACATATAAGTGTTGTCCATGATTGATAATTGCCGTGGCATTCACTTAGTTTGCATGCTATCACAAGCTGCCAGCCCAACTGCCAGCTAAAGAGAAAGTGCTTTTGTGTTAACCAAATTTTTGTGAATACAGATTTGTTATGTAACCAAGTGTCAGCCATACCATTTTCTACTCTTACCTTTTTCAGTTTCACGAATCAGTTCTCTGGCATGAGGGGTTCCATGTTCATCATTTTATGTCAGTGCCACTGCACACGAAGACATAGCGAAATATAATTTCTATCAAGCCACTTACAGCTTGTCGTTGAGGCATACTTGCTGTCTCACATGACAGTTGACAGTGATGCCAAACTTATTTCATAGTTCGGGCAGGGGTCATCTGTTAGCCAACATTGCTTCCTGCCTGGACAAAAGTGGTGTATGTACTCACCCTTGTGCCTCGTTTTCTCTCTCCCCCTCTTCAATTGCCCCTGCCTGCCTGGTCTCCTGTCCCTGTGATGATGATTCCTGGTTGTTTCTTCCCACGTCGGCTACTCGTCCCGTTCCCCAGGGGGCATGAGCCAAAACTATGGTGGGGGATATGGGGGTGGCGGGCCACCTCCGCAAGCCCTGATGGAGCGTCGGGCAGCAGCCGGCGTGGCTGGGGCCCCACCGGGCCCTGGTGGTGGCATGATGGGCCCAGCCCCGCCAGGCTTTGGCCAGGGCTACAACCCAGGGGGGGCAGGGAACACCATGGGAGGACCCCCTCAACAGTCTGGCAACATGGGCATGATGAGTGCAGCCGCAGCAGGCATGCAGAACCCTGGGCCACAGCAGTATCTGGCTAACAGGTGAACCCCCCTGGCCTTGTGCCCCATCACCTTGCCTTGAAGGATGGCTAGTCATAGAAGCTAGCTCATTTATGATGGCAGCCCGTGCTTCCTTGCTGCAGAAAAGTTTCATCTAGCCACCTTATCAACAGGGCATCCTTTCTTTCAGGAAAACTCTGATGGGCTTGTATGATGAGACTTGTGAGCCAATGAACACCATGCACATTTGACCGAGAAAGTGACTATGCTGCGTCAGTATTTGTAAAAATGAAAGGAACAAAACTAAAGCATTATGCCCGTCTTTAGGTCAATTAAACCACCAATAGTGCTACATCTTTCTAGTCAGCCTTAAAGCACTCTGTATATGGGCATATGATATACAAACCGGGATGCAGGAAGCAATTTCGGAAAAGGAAAAAGAATGCAAGAAAAAGCATGCAATACAAGTGATAAAATTTCAACAGCTGTGCAAATTGTGCAAGTTGTTTTTAATGTGAGGGTATGCACTTTTATGCCTTTTATCGAAGGCAGAAAAAAAAAGTGATACTATGCTTGATGGATAAATCTTGATAACTACCTGTGAATTTATAACTTCACTCTACAGATAAATTTTAAGTGTATAAAATAGAACTGGATCCTTATTAAGGGAGCAGCGGATGCTTTTGGCTTCCCCATAAATGACTGCAAGTCCCAGAATGATTGCATGTTTTTTTCTTTTTTTTTCCTTCACAAAACTTTTGCGCTGCAGTGTTTTGGTTCCATCTGAGCATCTGTTGCTGGTAACGCCGACGAGCAGTAACCGTAGTGGTGCTGTGTAGTTGCGGTCAGGCTGCACGTATTGATCTTTGCTGCAGCTCTATCGAACTAAAGAGAAGGTGGAACTTAGGTTTGTCTTGGTGCGGACTGCTGAAGCCTCTCACTTGCTTTAAGACTTGAATGAAATTAAGCGCTGCATTTGGTGCTCATTTGTCTAAACTTTTAAGTTTCTTTACTGATGGGCATGAATGGACGCATGCAGATGTTGGCAAATGGCAGCCTGTTCAGATGGCCACTATGGGTGCCTTAATTCTCAGAATATCATGACAAAAATAAAGGCATCGTAGTCTTTTATAGTTTCTCAACTAAATAGCTCAAATTGCTTGTATCAAACAATAATAATGGAAACGAGCTAAACACATCGGGTCATTGAAAAAAAATATTTTTTTAATCATTAATGTAGTCATATGTGGAAAACCTAAATGATGTTTACACTGCTTACTTGTAAAAAAACACTTCTGCTTTGTGGTTGGAAGCCTTGTGGCTTCACTTCTCTTTCCTGTGATGCTAGATGCCCTTGTCTCCGTTATGCTTGTTAGCATGCACACAAATATTTGTTCCTATGTATAGTTTTGAGACTTGTTGTATTGCTCAACGATGCGTCCATCTAGAATTATGTGAGGACACAGGAAAGTTTGTGCTAACAATCACCACAATATCAAACAGATCTACTAAGTTGGAAATGGTCTTAAAAGGACATAAAAATAATTTCTTTTGTATTACTAAAGAATCTTTTCATAATGCCCAAAGTACCACTCTGACCATGTGATGGTTCTCGGTAAGCCTAAAATGCATGTGGAGAAAACCTTAGATGACCTTTAGGGTTTTACACCAGCTTTCCTTGACACCATAGATCTCGACGGCATCTGCTGCAGCCTACATGCTTACTTATTGGTAAAAACGAATGGCACTGTGTTGTAGCTAAAAGAGTCTGAGACTTAACATGGCAGGCTCCAGGAAACTTTATACTTTATACACTCAATGTGGCAAAGGTGTTCAAGAGTCTTGGGAGTGCCACTGACATGTATGCATTGTGGTTACGATACGAAATTCAGAGGTACAGTTTTCTTCTTCATTTTGTCTTCTGATAACAATACTGTGATGAAATTAATGATGGCATTCTCAGATTAATTTATCAGTCTGGTGGTGCTTGAAAGGGCAGTTTTTTTTAGACTAGTGGTGGCCATTGTATCTGGTACTGTCACGTAGGCTTACAGCATTGTGCTACAGTTGAACCTGGATGTAACGAAATTGATAAATTCCCGGAAAAATTCCTTATAAAGAGTTTTTTTGTTATATGCAGATTAAACACGAAAATTGGGAAAATAAACGTGCAAATTAACAAAAGGAGGACCGAAGGCAGAGCTAACCCCAAACACTCATTTTACAGTAAAAAAACTGCGTTACTATTGTGATAGCAATTATATGGCCACTCTCGGCGGGTTCTTGCTGTCGCCGCCAGGTTTCCGCATCAAGTACAAATTCACAACATGTCCCCCGCGCATTGTAACTTTCACAAGCGGTAAAAGCGCGCTAGCGCTGCTGAAGCAGAGATCACACGAGTCGGCCCATCCCTATCGCCCGGAAAGTGCATAACATCTCGCGCGTGTTAGAATTGCCATCGAATGCTCAAACAGAAAGTAAACCACCCGTCTTAAACTAGCATGATAGCATGAAACAATGAGGGGGGGGGGGGAATCGCTCGAGTAGCAATAATAAAATTGGATCTTAAGGGCGGTCGTGATCGCTGGCGCGCTTGCTATCTCGGCGAGTATCAGTGCGGTTTCAACGCGAAGGGACTGTGTGAAAAGAGCAAACGCAATCGTTATGGTCAAAGCCGAAGGCACGCGATTCTAACCCCCCCCCCCCCCCCCCCCGAAGGATAAGCGCACGAGCACAAGCATCTAACCTCCCTTTCCCCCCTCTGCATTCCTGGGGCAAAGTACGCGTGGGAGATAAGCGCTCATCGGCACATCGTGATGAGCTGAGCGCCGAGCGCGGGCGGTGTTTTGGAGACCTTCTTTCGCCTCCCGTTCCATCTAAGGAGAGACCAAGAAATGCTACTACATAGACTGCGGCTGGGTGTTGCATACACGCGACAATTCTTATGCATGATTGGACAAGAGCAAAATCCTAACTGGAACATGTGTAACACGCCAGAAACTATTAATCACATCCTGTGTGTGCGCCCGTTATACGCAGTTGAAAAACAATCTCTTAGGTGCCTCACAGATGACCTAGACTGCCGACCCTTTTTGGAAGAGAAACTTTTGGGTTCTTGGGAATGTGTGGATCATGCCCAATGCAGTTTAAAGGACTTTCTCGCATTTCTAAGCAATACAGGTTTAGATTCCCGTCTTTAGAGAATCTGCTAATGTAGAGACTGTTGTGCGTGTACTACACTCAACAAGACATTGTGTGCAGTCACTCATTGTGCTATACCACAATCACCCCTCATCATATCCTCCTCTTTCCTTCTCTTTTCTCCTTACACCCGTGAGGAGTAGCAGGCTAGAAACCCGGTTTCAAGGCCAACCTCTCCTCCTTCTCATTAAACACCTTCTTTTTTGACGAAAAAACTTTGGTTTGTCTGCCTGTACATTTGTCTGTTTATCCACCCTTATCGTGAACCGGGTACTCTAAACAGCACCAGCGGATACCCGAACGGCCGACCCCATCCGCAGCGCCAACCAATGTTGCTCAAGATTCAGCGTTCATACGTGTGCGATTCTCAATTAAAAAGCAATTATTGCGCATATCTGAGGCACCATAACAATGCATATATATTTTGCGTGTGCGTCTTTTATTAGAAAAGGCATACATAAGTAATTCCAAGGACCGTAGCATTTATCACGTTGCGCTGACCATGCAACACTTGCACGAA